GCCTCCAGTCCCCTAATCATCTTTGTTGCTCTTCTCTGCCCTCTTTCTAGAGTCTCAACATCTTTTTTACATCGTGGTGACCAAAACTGGATGCAGTATTCCAAGTGTGGCCTTACCAAGGCATTGAAGAGTGGTATTAATACTTCTATTATTAATACTTCTAAAATTCTTCGTATGTTTAAAGTTTTGATTCTGTTTCTGCTGGGATCTGTCTCTTCTACCAAAGAGGTGAAATTATTTTGAGGTTCACAAAACTTGGGCAGTGGCCGAAAGTAAGGGGGGGGGGAAGGCAGATCTGGCAAGAATGTACCTCTGGATTACATCATTTGGGCCCTGCCAAATATTTTACTGAATAGCCAGCCATCTGACTTTAATCAGTCTTGGAAAGAGTTGCACGTACAGAATTTAAACCACAGCAGTGAAGTCAGCAGACTGAAACATATGGGATTCCGGGAGGGGACATACAATTCCTAACAATCCATAATTCGCTTTTCAACATAGCGCGTCTGATGTTGACATGCTGTAAGAAATTGCGGTTGGCTTCTAACAAATCAGGAAAGGAGGAGGCGTGTGTGTGTGTGTGTGTGTGTGTATGTGTGTGTGTGTGAGGGGGGGGGGGAAAGAGTTGCTAATCTCCTATGGGAGCTTTTCTGAGGCCTCCAGACCGGTTCTGAAGCGCTGGTTCAGCTTAGGAAACCTCTGCAAAGCTGACTGGGGATGTTGGTTTGAAGATCTACCAAGGTTTCAGCAAGTTGCAAGAACTGACCAACTTTGTTTAGGCTTAGAAATTGGTTGTTTGGTTGGTACTAGGATGGGAGACCACCAAGGAATCACCCAAGCTTGTAGATGTCCTGGAAAGAGATCATTGCAGCCAATGTCAGATTGTTGCCAAGGAGACTTTATGGTCCTGTGTGTGAATTAATAGGTATCTCAACTGAAAGGAGACTACGTCATGTCTAACCTGGTGGCACATGATAGCTCCATTGTAAGAGATCTTAAATCCTATTTAATAATAACAACAACTACAACAGAATTGTAAGAGACCTTGGAGGTCTTCTAGTCCAACCCCCTGCTCAGGCAGGAAACCCTATACCATTTCAGACAAATGGCTGTCCAGTCTCTTCTTAAAAACTTCCAGTGTTGGAGCATTCACAAGGTCTGGAGGCAGGTAGTTCCACTGATTAATTGTTCTCACTGTCAGGAAGTTTCTCCTTAGTTCTAGATTGCTTTTCTCTCCTTGATGAGTTTCTATCCGTTGCTTCTTGTCCTGCCTTCAGGCGCTTTGGAGAATAGCTTGACTCCCTCTTCTTTGGAGCAGCTCCTGAGATACTTGAAGACTGCTATCACATCACCCCTAGTCCTTCGCTTCATTAAACTGGACATACCCAATTCCTGCAATTGTTGTTCATATGTTTTAACCTCCAGTCCCCCTGATCATCTTTGTTGCTCTTCTCTGCCCTCTTTCCAGAGTCTCAACATCTTTTTTACATCGTGGTGACCAAAACTGGACGCCCCAGTCACAGTTACTCTACAGCAGGGGTGTCCATCCTTGTCAACTTTAAGACTTGTGGACTTCAACCTGGATGCCTGAGGAATTCTGGGAATTGGGAGTCCACAGACCGTCAAGGTGCCAAGATTGGTCACCTCTGCTCTACGGGCTTAATATGAACCATTTGCTTTGTTCTTCTGTCGAAGACATACTTATCACAGGCGTGTTATTCTTGAGCTCATTGGTTTTTCATGGTGCTAACATGTATATTTGCTGCATGATGCAACAACGGCTTACAAGTCCATCCAGATCATACAGTGGAGCCAATAAATTTCGGAGGTGGTTCCCATAATGCCTTCCAAGTATGTGTTCATGGGAAGAGATGTGATCATAGCCAGGCTATTTACTCGGGAAAAATTTCTTGAGCAATGGGGACGTGTGGTTCTCTTTAAGTGCAAGAAGAAAAGAGAAACCAACCAAAGAAAAAATGCAACAAATGCTCCCTCAGAAAGAATGTGATGATTTTTTCCCCCCTTATTCAGCTTTCTTCCTAATTTCAAAATCTCTTTTTAACAGATAAAGATTAACTGGCCCACAGGCGGAGAGGGAAAGAGCAGCGAGACAAATATAAAGAGGGTCATATCGTGATTAAACAGTCCATTTTTCTGGATGTTCAGCAACAGCATCTCCACAAAAGGCTGGATAAAAAAAAAGGAACGATATTTGGAAAGGCGTTTTGCCTCTCAACCAATCGGAAACCGATGGAATTAATTTACATTATTACCGCCATTTGAGGGTAAATCTCCCCCAAAAATTGAACAGTTCACGCAGGGGATTTTAGATCCCCAAATTGTTCGGTAGATCTCCCTGACGAAACTAATAAATTAGTTTGTTCGGTAGATCTCCCAGATGCAGCCAATAAATGAGAGAAATGCATTGAGACAAAAGTAGCATCATAAATTCATTTTTGGACAAATGAAAATAATTGCCTGCGGGTGGCGAAACAATCTGGACCGAATTATCGGCGTGTGTGATGTCCCGGAGTGTGAAGTTTTAACAATATTTTCTCCTCCATTTGAATCCGAGCGAATGTTTTGACTTATTAAAAAACAAAACAAGAACTTGTTTTCCTGTGATGTTATCTACAAGTGATCGTACTTTTTTTAAAAAAAACAACAACACATGTACTGGGTTGCTGCAACCTAGAATAAAATTCCTGAGGTTTCAAGGGCAACTTTTTGGACAGGCAAAAACAGCTACGATGTCCTGAATATGGGAAAGTCTTGATTATTTCAGATCTCTTGCGGTTTTTTTGCCCTTGACTGGTAGTTCCCCAACCTGAATTCTCTTTCAATGTTTGGAAAGAGTGCAGAGAAGAGCAACAAAGATGATTAAGGGATTGGATGATGAACAGTTGCAGGAATTGGGTATGTCTAGTTTAATAAAAAAGGACGGGGGGTGACATGATAGCAGTCTTCCAATATCTCAGGGGCTGCCACAAAGAAGAGGGAGTCAAGCTATTCTCCAAGGCACCTGAAGGCAGGACAAGGAGCAACGGATGGAAACTAATCAAGGCGAGAAGCAACCTAGAACTAAGGAGAAACTTCCTGACACTGAGAATAATTAATCAGTGGAACAGCTTGCCGCCAGAAGCAGTAAATGCTCCAACACTGGAAGTTTTTAAGAAGAGACTGGACAGCCATTTGTCTGACATTGTATAGGGTCTCCTGCCTGAGCAGGGGGTTGGATTAGATGACCTCCAAGGTCCCTTCCAACTTTACTACTACTACTACTACTACTACTACTACTACTACTACTACTAGTACTATTATTGATCATCGCACAGTCAGCCAGATGTTCAGACTGGATTTGGCATTTTGTCTATCTATCGAGTCCTTACCTAGGACCTGGGATAGGCAGATGTGGATGTTTGATGGTATTACAGATATCATTGCAGGATGGAAGCAGTTCCTAGTAAGGCCGCCTTTTGCAATTGACTAATAGCGAATTTGTCAATGCCAATGGCGTTCAAGTGGTGCTCCAGTTGTTTTGGGATTGCACCCAAGGAGCCTATGACTATTGGTACTACCCTTGCTTGCCTTTGCCACAGTCTTTCTATTTCTATTTGTAGGTCTTTGTATTTTGTTATCTTTTCCAGTTCTTTCTCGTCTATTCTGCTGTTTCCAGGCACTGCCACGTCCACTATCCAGACTTTTTTGTCTTTCTTATCGACAATTGTTAAGTCTGGGTTGTTGTTGTTGTTATTATTACTATTACTACTACTATTATTATTATTATTATTATTATTTTACTAGAGGACCTCCAAGATCCCTTCCAACTCTGTTATTCTGTTAAACAAGATACTTTCTATTTCCACAGGATTCATTGACTGAAATCCTCAGGGATCCTGGAAGACAATTCAGGGACAACAGATACAGAGAGAAACCTGATTTGATCACTACAGCTTTGATTCTTAAATAGGGGATCTGGGAAAACTTTTTTTCATTTAACCCATTTCCGCATGCTGAAAAAGTTTGAAAAACCCCTGACATAGTGCACTATCAAAATAAATTTCTTTTCTTCGCCAAATAATTGCTTTCCTACGTTAAGTGCCAAAATGCAAAGAAGGAACAACTGATTATCAAGCTGAGATCATTGGATACGAGCACTGAATTCTGATACTCTTTAATTTAATATGGGGAAGCCACTGCATTAAAAATAAATATTCGCAAGGAAGACAAAATGTCCGAGAGAGTCAGGAAAATCTCAACAAAATGGCATTCTGTTTGTTTAGGCAAGTTAACACACACACACACTATTATAACAACTGAATGGTTCAAACCACGACAGCAGCTTTTGCTAGGTTATCATTTGACCTTAAATGGATACGGCCGTTCAATAGCAGATTTTTTTTTTTTCCCAGCTAGACTGGTGTTTCTCAAACATGGCAAATTTAAGATCTATGGACTTCAGATCCCACAATTCCCCAGCTAGAGTTGAAACCCACACATCTTAAATTTGCCAAGTTTGAGAAAACACTAGTCTAGACTATTTCCCTGCAAATATCTGAACCATGAAGTCGCTGAACTAATAAGCTTAGCAACATGTTCGTTTGGAGCAAAGTGAAAGATTGTCACCCGTTGAGCCACATCATAATTCACGGTTTATGAACTTACAATGGAAGGATTCACAGAACACGCTAGCCCAAAAATCAAATAAGCAACCGGGCTGCTTAGTGTGAGGTAGGAACATATATATCTATTTCCTGCCAAGGCGTTTTAAACTGCCACCCGGCTGGCTGTAAAGCCGTGGTGAATTACATCCAATCTGGTATTGAATGTGTAGCAAAACTGGCATATGTGAAGCCAAAATCACCACAGATGAAGAGTGGAATCTTAACTTGATTCAGTCACAGCTGCCCGAATTTTCCATCCACAGAACCAATCTGGCAGTGTGGCCTGGATGAAAAACGAGGACGACGTGAACAAGGAAAGAAGAACCGTGAACTTACCAACGGTGATGCTCCCTGTTTTAGTCTCCAAGGTACTATCCCCTGCAACGAAATTTGAAAAGACCTTAAAATGGGAGGGTCCTTTCAAACAGCACAACTCCTAGCAATGCACAAAACAAGAAGCCGCAGAGGGTTCAAAGCAAGCTACAAATTGAATCAGAGGTTCTTATTTGTAGTACTATCAGGCGCAGAGGATTGGGATCATACGCTAAGTTGCCATGCAGAAGATTTATTAATCAAGCTTATATGCAAGAATCTAGTCATCTAAGGTTCAATACGGAATTGGCACCAGAGAAGGGTATCGGAATTCAAGACTTGGGATTTGGACCATTTGTGGGAACATAACGATTCTAGGCAGATGACTTGCTTAACTCTGCCCCTCGCAGCTCAGCCTGCTCTTCTCCTACGTATCTCACACCCAGTCACACAAATACAGCATTAAGCAATCTATATTCTCAAAGCCGTGCATCTTATAACCCAGCATCTCTCAATAGCAACTTGAGAAGTGATAAGGAGATACTGGGAAGGTATATAATTCAGCAATTTCCAGGTGCCACAGGTTGTACCAAATACACAAATGTTGCCTTAAGGATATCACAATCTTTTTGCACAGGCTACTTTATTAGCATTAATTCAAATGCGACTTCTATTCTTATTTTGGTTTTATCATAGCAGCTCCTTATGTCGATCCTCGGCTGATGGCTCCCAAGCTCTAGCAAATTTTTGCAATGCATTTATTTCTTGGATTGCTATTCTTCCTAAGGCACAAAATGCTCAAATGGATAAAAATAATTAACAAGAACAAAATAAATTGAAACCACGCACATCGCAACCACATTGTACCACCACCAAAAGTATTGCAAATAAAGCCATTATATAATAACGACCTAATAGTTCAGTGGCTAAATTGAAAAAGATCTGTTTTGAATTCTTATTTTTTTCAAATAAGAGCCGTTGTCACTCTGAGAAAACCTACCATGTTTTAGGATCAACAAAAGCCTTGGAAAATTACATCAGTGAGGAAAATTCAACATGTCATTTGGAAGATGAACTTTTATAAAAATTGTGCGGTCAAATAACCATTCCACCAACAACTGGATATAATAAATTCTGTCGTTTTCATCTTCTCTTAAATGGAAATACGTATTATCTTATAATATCAGATTTGCCACTAGTGCTAACATCCAGCAAATATATAAAGTTGGGGCAATAGTCATGAAGCATTGACAGAAACAATTTGATCCATTCCTAATTTTCTGTTCCCCGCGAGCAATAATTGGAAACATTTTTCTGCACGTCGATCTTGTACTGCTTAAACACGAAGATACAAGTCAAAGCTATTTTTCTGTATTGGAAGCCTGCATACTCAAAACATACATCTCTTTCTGCAAGAAAGCTGTTTATTTACTTCATATTTTTTTCCTATTCTGTCCAAGTTCAGGAATCTAAACTACAGTCAGTCCTTGACTTACCACCACAATTGAGCTTAAAATGTATGTTGTTAAGTGAGACATTTGTTAGGTGAATTTTGCCCTGTTTTCTTGAGGCAATTGTTAGTGAATCACTGCAATTGTTGAGTTAGTATCACAGTGGCTAAGTCAGGGGTAGGCAACCTTGGCTCTTTTATGACTCGTGGACTTCAACTCCCAGAATTCCATGCTGAGGGGAAAGGGAGAGGTTTCTAAGCTGAGCCATGCTGGCTGAGGAATTCTGGGAGATGAAGTCCACAAGTCTTAAAGTTGCAAGGTTGAGGACCCCTGATATAGGACAGGGTTGGGAACCTTGGTTCTTTTATGACTCGTGGACTTCAATTCCCAGAATTCCTGAGCCAGCCACGCTGAGGGGAAAGGGAGAGGTTTCCAAGATGAGCCATGCTAGCTCAGGAATTCTGGGAATTGAAGTCCACGAGTCATAAAAGAGCCAGGGTTGCCCACCCCTGGGTTAAGTGAATCTGTCAGGATGATAATTTAATAGCTAAACAGCTTATGTAATGATGTAACGCAGTGTAAGGTGGTTGATGCAATAATTGGAATGACTCAGCAGGTGTGTGTATCCCTTTAAGAGCCTGAGTATAAAAGGGAAGTTTTTTTGCTGGAGTCTTTCTCGTCCATTTTCTGCTGTAATTGCTGGAGTTTGCTGAATTGCCACCATGTGTGTGAGTTTTGTTTCCAGTATATTTGCAGATACTGTAATATAAACCACCATTTAATACAAACCACTGTTTGCTGTATTTTCTCTTGGGTTACCTCAGCGCAATAAGACTATGCATGCTCTGACAGGCTTCCCCATGGATTCTGCTTGTTAGAAGGTCCCAAAAAATGACACGTGATCCCGGGACAGTGCGACCGTCATAAATATGAATCAGTTGCCAAGCGTCTGAAATTCTGATCACGCGACCCTGGGGTTGCTGTCGTGGTCCTAAGTCTGAAAAGGTCATAGGTCACTTTTTAAAGTGCCGTTGTAACGTTGAACGGTCACCAAATGAACTGTTGGAAGTTGAGTTAAGAAGTCCATAAATAAATGCGTTTAATAACTATTCAAAGTTACAACGGCGTTGAAAAAAAAACCACTGTGGTCCTCACAGGTACGACCGTCGCAGCATCCCCACGGTCATGGGATCAAAATTCAGAGGCTTGGCAACTGACTCATATTTATGACGGTCGCAGGGTACCCCGGGGGTCACGCAATCCCCTTATGTGATCATCTGACAAGCAAAGTCCACAACGGGTGTCACTCATTTAACAAATGCAGTGATCCATATCACAAACGTGGCCAAAAAAAGTCGTAAAATGGAGCGAAACTCACTTAACAAACGTCTTGCTTAGCAGCAGGAACTTTGAGCTCAACAGTGGTCGTAAGTTGAGGAATATCTGTAAACTTTTCTAGGGAAACAAGTGGTTTTTTTCAGTGCCCATTCAGTTACTCCGAACCCCATTATTGATTGATTCTTGTTACCATAGAAACACATGGATCCAGTTAATGCCAGGATCTTGCCTAACAGTGGATCTAGGAAGGAAGTGTTGTTCTGTAGAATGTGTCAACGTGTCCATAAACAAGCAGCAGAAAATCTTACATCTTCTCAAATAACTTTTTTTCCCAACTTTAAAGGTTTAAGTCTTCAACGTGCCTTCGTGTATCCTGGAAATGCTGAGTCTTACATTACATAAGGACGTCCACAACGGGTGGAGCAAAACAGTCATTAAAAAAAGACAAAGATGTTTTACATGTCAGAGCAGATGTTAGAGGACTGTAAATCAGTCAGATGCTGCTCATAAAACGATCAGGATTGGAAAATTAAAAGCGTACCGAATATACGGAAATCAGACTGGAATAGGCAGCATGTAGTACATGTTTTCAAGAATATAAGTACGTATTAAACTCCGTTTGCAATCTATTCTACTCTACTCTACTCTATTCTACTCTACTCTACTCTATTCTACTCTACCCTACCCGCAATCTATTCTACTCTACTCTACTCTACTCTATTCTACTCTACTCTACTCCATTCCTTTCCATTCCATTCCATTCCATTATTCTATTCTATTCTGTTCTGTTCTGTTCTGTTCTATTCCATTCCATTCCATTCCACTCCAGTCTATTATTCTATTCTATTCTATTCTATTCTATTCTATTCTATTCTATTCTATTCTATTCTATTCTATTCTATTCTATTCTATTCCATTCCATTCCATTCCAGTCTATTATTCTATTCTATTCTATTCTATTCCATTCCATTCCATTCCAGTCTATTATTCTATTCTATTCTATTCTATTCTATTCTATTCTATTCTATTCTATTCTATTCTATTCTATTCTATTCTATTCTATTCCATTCCATTCCAGTCTATTATTCTATTCTATTCTATTCTATTCTATTCTATTCTATTCTATTCTATTCTATTCTATTCTATTCTATTCCATTCCATTCCATTCCATTTCTATTCTAATATGGATCAAATTAATATCAGGATCTTGCCTAACAATGGATCTACGAATGAAGTGTTGTTCTATAAAATGTGTATTGCGTCCATAACCAACCAGCATAAAATCTTATATCTCAAAGATCTTTTTTTTTTTTTGCAATTTCAAAGGTTTAAGTCTTCATCGTGCCTTCGTTTATTCTGGAAGTGACATAATGATGGCTGCAATTGATGGAGCAAAATTGTCATTAAAAAAAAAAGACAAAGATGTTTTACATGTCAGAGCAGATGTTAGAAGACTGTAAATCAGTCAGATTTTGCCCATAAAATGATCAGGATTGGAAAATTAAAAGCGTACGGAATATACTGAAATCAGACTGGAATAGGCAAGGAGTATATCCATTCTCCACCATCCGGTCAGAATAATGGTTTTAGTGTTCAAATTGTCTTCTTTAAACTGGCTGTAGCTCTTTAGGTTTTTTTTTTTTGCTCTACCCTGACATAAAATGTGTGTTTTTATAGGGAGAGTGTGAAAAACAGAATACTTTATGTTTGCCCGAAAAGTATCCAAAACAGCCTTTTGTGACAGCCAAATTTATTTTCCAAACCCAACGGTCTACATTAAAAAACCTATCCGTCAACATTTTTGGAATGAGACTCAGTAAACCAACCTCACAGCTCAGCATCGCTATTCCTTGGAATTTAATTTAAAAACATCAAGTTGTGTTTATTTACTCAAGCCTCTATATATGTGTGTGTTTCTGCCCAGTCTTTCTGGCTCTTTTCGAATTTAACAGCCAGAGTTTGAGCCAACATCCCAGTTCATTAGAAAAGAGAATGAAATGGTTTTAAATGCGGGGGTGGGTGGGGAGAGAAGAAACAGCATGCACACACACACACACAAAAGAAAGAACGCACACCAAAACCCCCACGAAAGAACAAACAAACAAAGGCAGAAGAGTTAAAAAAAAAAAGGAGAGATCATTGCCATGCTAAAATTCTGAGGACTGATGGATAATCTTACTGCTGAATCCTAACGTCTGCTCTGAATTATTGTGATAGAGCTGTCCAACCCACAAAAAAAAATCCACAAACCCAGAGTCTGGATGAATTACAGCTCGAGGGCCTGCATACCCCCACATCCCAACCACTGGTAGAAAAAATATACACAGAATATTCAATCATTCAGTTCAGTGGTGGGATTCAGCCGGTTTGCACCACTTGGGCAGAACCGATAGCTAATTTTTTGTTGCCCAGGCCCAGAATGGACTTCCGGAAGCGGCATCCACACAGAGAACCGGTTGTTCACCTATTTGAATCCCACCACTGTAGATGGATGGATGGATGGATGGATGGATGGATAGATAGACAGACAGACAGACAGACAGATGATAGATAATAGTTGATAGATAGATAGATTGATAGATCGATAGATAGATGATAGATGATATAGATGATAGATGATATAGATGATAGATAGATAGATAGATAGATAGATAGATAGATAGATAGATAGATAGATAGAAGACAGACAGATGATAGATAATAGATGATAGATAGATCGGTCGATCAATAGATAGATGGATAGATGATAAATGATAGATAGATGATATAGATGATAGATGATAGATAGATAAATAGATGATAGATAGATAGATAGATAGATAGATAGATAGATAGATAGATAGATAGATAGGTGGGTGGGTGGGTGGGTGGGTGGGTGGATGGATAGACAGATAGATAAATGATGGATAGATAGATAATAGATGATAGATAGATGATAGATAAGATGATAGATGATAGATAGATAGATAGATAGATAGATAGATAGATAGATAGATAGACTCTTTCCAGAGTCTCAACATCTTTTTTATAATAAATGAAGTCTTAGTTCTGGGCAATTGTACATATGGCTGCAGCTTCTGATAAATGGCACCAGAGTTTTAGCTCATGCCAGGATACTGCTCAGAGAAGGTAACCTTAGAAAAAAACCATTTTGTTCATCAATAAAATCATGTTATCTTCAAAATCTGGCTCCGCTTGTAAGTTTCCCAAGGCAATTAAAAAAATGGCTGTGCTATATTCAACTTCATAAACACAGTCAGGCACTAAACTGGGTATGAAAAAGAATACTTTTCCTTAAAAAGGCATTTGTTAGAGAAATGTTGCTCTAATGAAGTCTTTTTTGCCCTCTTACCATGGACGGTCCCCAGTAAAATGTCGCCAGCCGCTGAAGTCAGAAACGAAGAGTCCGCGTACAAATATTTAGCTTTGAGCAGACCGTTCTCACTCGCAATGTTAATAGATGATCCTTGGAGCTTTTCTGCGTTCACACCCTATTGCAAGAAAAAAGAAAAACAAAATACAATGAAGTTGTATTAACTATTCTGATTTGGTAACGAATAGCTCTTGGGCTATCTTGAGCTCCAAGATCACCGCAGATGGGGACTGCAGCCAAAAAATTAGAAGACGCTTGCTCCTGGGGAGGAAAGCTATGGCAAATCTAGACAGCATATTAAAAAGCAGAGACATCACCCTGCCAACAAAAGTGCGTATAGTTAAGGCCATGTTTTTCCCAGTTGCAATGTGAAAATTGGATGTGAAAATTGGACCATAAGAAAGGCTGAGTGCCAAAGAATGGAGGCCTTTGAACTCTGGGGCTGGAGAAGACTCCTGCGAGTCCCCTGGACTGCAAGGCGATCCAATCGGTCAAACCTGGAGGAGATCAACCCCGACTGCTCTTTAGAAGGCCAGATCCTGAAGTTGAAACTCAAGGACTTTGCCCACCCAATGAGAAGGAAGGACTCCATGGAGAAGGGCCTGATGCTGGGAAAGATGGAGGCAAGAGAAGAAGGGGATGACAGAGAATGAGGTGGCTGGATGGAGTCACTGAAGCAGTAGGCGTGAGCTTCAGTGGACTCCAGAAGATGGTAGAAGACAGGAAGGCCTGAAGGAACATTGTCCATGGGGTTGTGATGGATCGGACACGACTTCGCAACTAACAACAACAACAAATAGCCAATTTGGTCTAGTGGTTACGGCACCAGGCTAGAAAACAAGTGACCCTAAACAGCTAATTCACACCACATTGTCTTATGCCAGGGGTCTTCAAATGTGGCCCTTTTATGACTTGTGGACTTTATGATTTCACATCCAATAGATCAGGGGTCTTCAAACTTGGCTCTTTTATGACTTTTAGGCATGTTCTGCCAAGCAAAGATTAAAGTTAAAAAAAACCCAATCTTTGCTCTTGGCTCATCCCCTGACACCTTGGAAAAATTTGGCATAACTCAGCAATGTTTTAGTCATTTTATATATTTATGGGGTTGGCACGTTGGCAGAACATTGACTCTTCAGCTGGAGCCAAAGCAAACTTGCCAGCGGTTCCAACCGAATGAAATTTTTCCAAGGTGTCCGGGGATAAGCCAAGACCAAATGCCAGATTGTTTCTTAGCTTTGATCTCTGCTTGGCGGGACAGGGAAAGCTGCCAGGAGATTGATCAAGCAAATGAGAAGTTGGCTTCTGGCCTAAATATTTATGATGGAGTAGAGTAGAATAGAATAGAATAGAATAGAATAGAATAGAATATGAAATGGAATGGAATAGAATAGAATAGAACAGAACAGAACAGAACAGAATAGAATATGGAGTGGAGTGGAGTGGAATGGATTGGAATAGAATAGAATAGAATAGAATAGAATAGAATAGAATAGAATAGAATAGAATAGAATAGAACAGAATATAGGAATGAAGAATAGAATAGAATAGAATAGAATAGAATAGAATAGAATAGAATAGAATAGAATAGAATATAGGAATGAAGAGTAGAATAGAATAGAATAGAATAGAATAAAATAGAATAGAATAGAATAGAATAGAATAGAATAGAACAGAACAGAATATAGGAATATAGAATAGAATAGAATAGAATAGAATATAGGAATAAAGAATAGAATAGAATAGAATAGAACAGAACAGAATAGAATAGAATTAGGATAAGTTTCTCCTAATTCCAGGTTGCTTCTCTCTTGGGTTGGTTTCCATCCATTCTTTCCTCTCCTGGTGCTTTGGAGAATAATTTGTGGCAGCCCCACAAATATCCAGTTTCAGCACCAGGGGACCTCTAATGCACAGCCACAAACCTTCATCATGCCTTGGTTTATCCTGGAAATGCTGAGTCTGAACTATATAATTTCGGTTGCTAAGAGAAACATTTGTTAAAGGAAGTTTGCCCCATTCTACGATCTTCCTAAGTGAATCACTGCACTTGTTTAGTTAACAGGGTTGTTAAGGCACTCCAGATTCTCGGTTGACTTTGCTTATCAAAACTTCACCCAAAGTGGATCGCGGTCGTAAGTGTGGAAAATGGTCATGAAGTCACTTTGCAGTGACTTTGTAACGTCGAACGGTCACTAAATGGACTGTCATTAGCCAAGAACGACCTGTGTTTGTAGAAACCTATCCACCTTACCCCGTAGGGCTTCCAAAATCAGGGTCATTCAACGGAAATCGAAGAAAAAATTCATATTCTTATTACCCAAAGAGAAATTCTACTAGCTAAAGGTGCCATCTGCTGGCCAATGTGTAGCATAGCACCTCTATTTCAGGGGTCTTCAAACTTGGCCCTTTGATGACTTGTGGACTTCAACTCCCAGAATTCCTCACTGGCTGAGGAATTCTGGGAGTTGAAGTCCACAATCATCAAAGGGCCAAGTTTGAAGACCCCTGATCTAAGGTGTTTCTTATTTGCCGATCCTTAGCAAAAGAAGTTTTACATTGTTTAATATTAAAAAAAAATACATTTTAGTGTGACTTAGTTTTTCTTATGTTAGCCCCACGGCTGTCACTTACACTTTCTTGTGACACAAGAATATTGATATTTCCTTGAAGACTTCCCAAGCAGATCACGTCCCCTCCTTTTGCCCGGATATCAATTTTCTGACTCTGAAAGAAAACCGCATTATGTGTTTAAAAAAACAAACAACTTTACTTTCTTTTTCTTCAAAGATTCATTTTCCAGTTATGGCCCATTCTAACATTCAAATCCTATTCTTCTTATATTTCTTTGAACTTTCCTGGAACTCCTGCATGGAAGCTGTTTTTTTTAATACTCTAATAAGGTTGAATTACTGCCCTTTATGCAGCATTTAAAGGTTAAAAAAGAAGCAATCTACGATGCTAGGAATTTCAGATCGGATCTCTGTGTTTAAGTCAGCAAAAAAAAAAAAAACCCAAAACACCATTATAAAATATGTAAGCCTAAAACGCTATTAAGGGTCAGCTATTCTGAGCTAAATAAACTAGCATTCTGAGGCAGGATACAAGGGAAGCGTCTGCTTTTCTGAAAAGGACACATAAATAAAGAATTGGGTAACAGAATAACAGAGTTGGAAGGGATCTTGGAGGTCATCTAGTCCAACCCCCTGCCCAAGCAGGAGAACCTATCATTCCAGAAAACTGGCTGTCCAGTTTCTTCTTGAAAGCCTGCAGTGATGGATAAACCATAAATTCTGAAGGCCATTCCACTGGTTAATTGTTCTCACTGTTAGGAAATTTCTCCTTAGCTCTAGATTGCTTCTCTCTTTGATTTGTTTCCATCCGTTGCTTCTTGTCCTGCCTTCTGGTGCTTTGGAGAATAGCTTGACTGCCTCTTCTTTGGGGCAGCCCCTGAGATATTGGAAGACTGCTCTCCTGTAGCCCCTCATCCTTCTCTTCATTAAACTAGACATTCCCAATTCCAGCAACCATTCTTCATATGTTTTAGCCTCCAGTCCCCTGATCATCTTTGTTGCTCTTCTCTGTACTCTTTCCAGAGTCTCAACCTCTTTTTTACATCGTGGTGACCAAAACTGGATGCTGTATTCCAAGCGTGGCCTTACCAAGGCCTTGTAAAGCGGTATTAATACTTCACGTGATCTTGATTCCATCCCTCTGTTAATGCAGCCTAGCACTGTGTTGGCTTTTTTGGCAGCTGCAGCACACGGCTGGCTCCTATTTAAGTGACTGTCCCCTTTGATAATGCTATTTGGAACTGTCGAGAAGTAAAATCCGTTGAATTCAGTGGTTCCCATTTCAGAGAAATGGTTCCCAGCTCAGAAAAGTGGGCCAGTGACAGGATTGTAAGGATTTAAAGTCTAGCCAAGAAAGGCTTCTGTGATTTTTATCATTCCATCCGTGAGCAGCAAAAGCGTCAGGTACAGGAATCAATCTATTGCAGGGGTCTTCAAACTTGGCCCTTTTATGACTTGTGGACTTCAGCTCCCAGAATTCCTCAGCCAGCGGGCCCGCTGGCTGAGGAATTCTGGGAGTTGAAGTCCACAAGTCATAAAAGGGCCAAGTTTGAAGACCCCTGACCTATTGGATGTGAAATCGTAAACAAGTTCATCTGCAACAGGTGACACTGAGATAAAGGACAATTACGATGCTGAAGATTATGTATAATTCTTAAAACAAGTCAAGGCCACGAGGAGACAACGGTACCTTTATTGACTTCAATACACTCGCACCCTTCTCTGTTTCTACTCGGCAGTTAGTGCTCTCCATCTGTTCAATCTTCACACAGCCGTTTCCTGAGGTCTTGATATCCAAGTCTAAAAGTGATTTTAAAAAGTAACACGGGATGGAGATCAGGACAGGCTTAAGTCTGATTTCATTACGTCAGCAAGGAAACACAAGAGAGCAAGGTGGAGTGTCCTGCTTGCAAAGTAGGTCTGCATTCACGCCGCACCCACCCACCGCACCTACCAAATTTTACCGGCATCCTCACATCCAGAGAAGCTGCACCGTCCACGTCATCAGAGACGATCACCACCTCCTTCCGGGCCTCGTCGTAGTTCACAAGCAGATGCGAGGCAGGGTCGGGATTCAAACCCTTCCCCTTCAGGGCCAGAAACACCTTGTCAGAATCGGGGTACTTATGGGCGTCCAGGGGACCCACGGTTATGTGGTAAGGGAGACGGGCCTTCAGAAGACCGAAAGGGCTGACGGTCAAGGCCCACTCCTTGAGAAGCTGATGACTCTTGGAGTCTTTTTCTGCAGGACCCAGGTTTGCGTTACTGGTGAACAAACCCCTTCTCAGCTTCAGCCAACCACGATGGCTCCTTGCTAACACTTTCCCTGCAAGGTAGCACCATCCAGACAACTTCCCTTGCATGGTTTTGTTGATTCCTTGTTCTATGGGGATGTTTTGGTAAGTAGAGTAGAGTAGAGTAGAGTAGAGTAGAGTAAATAAAATAGAATAGAATATAGCAAATAAAGTAGAATATAGAAAATAGAATAAAATAGAGAATAGAACTGAATAGAATTGAACTGAATAATATTGAATTATAGAATAGAATAGAATAGAATAGAATAGAATAGAATAGAATAGAATAGAATAGAATAGAATATAGGAATGAAGAAAAGAAAAGAAAAGAATTAGAATAGAATAGAATAGAATAGAATAGAATAGAATAGAATAGAATAGAATAGAATAGTGGAATGGAGTGGAGTAGAGCAGAGCAGAGCAGAGCAGAGCAGAGTAGAGTAAATAAAATAGAATAGAATATAGCAAATAAAGTAGAATATAGAAAATAGAATAGAGAATAGAACTGAATAGAATTGAACTGAATAATATTGAATTACAGAATATTACAGAATTGAATAGAATTAGAAATAAGGAATAGAATAGAACAGAATAGAATAGAATAGAATAGGAGCTGGAAGGGACCTTGGAGGTCTTCTAGTCCAGCCCCCTGCTCAAGCAGGAGAACCTAGACCATCTCAGACAAGTGAGGGGAGGGTCTTCCTTTCCCTAGCTTTTGCATGGGGTGGGGGGCTCAACTGGATCAGGGCCCCCCTCTTTCAAGCCCACCCCGTTCGCTTCCCCCCCAAAATCATGCACAAGAATTGATCAGCAGCTGCAGCAACCCGGATACGTCAAACTTGCAGCGAGGGCTGCTGGGAGTTGTGGTTTCCGCTCCCGCGCGGGCTCGCCAAGCACAAGTCGGGCGTTTGAAACTACAAGTCCCGGAATGCAATTCGGGCTCGGAGTTTTTTTTTTTTCCCCCTCCTTCCTCTCTCCAATGGCTGGGAGAAAAAGGGAATGGAACGTTTCGTCACGCCGTCGGAAGGGGCGGGATCTATTACCCCGGAGGAAAAGGGGGCGGAGAATTTTGGTCTCCTTGGGAACGGGTGACGCTAATGGGCGAGCGGTTGCTAGGCGACGCCAGAGCCGAGGCCTGGAAGAAAAAAAAAAAAGAGTAACTCGAGTGATAGTAGCGCCGGTAAGATAAACTGGGTTAAATTCGGCTGGATCCCAGTCTGTGCAAAGGAGAGGCTTTGTATTCTTTGGGGCGGGGGGGGGGGAAGCTACCAGATTCAGGAACAGAGCTGCTTTCAAGGAATCCCGTTTATGCCTGGCTACCTCTCGTTTCACGAGTGGATGGGAGACCACCAGGAAATCCCAGGGCTATCACTTGGACGGGGAGGGGGCAACATTCCTCCAAAAAGGGCAGCGGGGAAGGTGGAAATCACTTCCCACTGTTGCCTGTAAAACTGCACCGAGGAATTTAAGTCAAGTTAATCCCATTTTTACTTGCCATGCAGGGAGTCCTCGACTTACGACAGCTCATTTAGTGACCGAAGTTACAACGGCACTGAAAAAGAAAAGTGACTTAGGACCGTCTTTCAGGCTTAATGACCGCTGTGGATGCATCCCTGTGGTCAGGTGATTTACATTGGGATGCTTGGCAACTGACTTGTACTTACGACGGTTTTAGTGTCCTGGGGGTCAAGTGACCCCCTCTTGTGACCTACTGATGAGCAGACTCAATGGGGAAGCCGGATTCACTTAACAACCATAACAACTCCGGCAATTCACTTAACCACGGTGTCAGGAGAGGTTGTAAAATGGAGCAAAGCTCACTGAACAAGTGTTTCACTTAGCAATGGGGCTCAGTTGTGGTCGTAAGGCGAGGACTGCCTGTATAGGTGGATGTTGTAGCAAGCAGATATAGAAGCATAATGCACAGCATGTGAATCAGGCTAATGAATGATGGGGAAATGTATCAGTTGTGGTGATAATTGTTTGCACAGCTCCTGTAGTTTTTGCAACGTTGTTTAGAGTTTCTTCAAATCCAAAGGAAGTTAATGATGGGTATTCAAGTTGTCTATCTAATGCTGGAAATAATAATAATAATAATAATAATAATAATAATGATGATGATGATGGTAGTGATGATGATGATGATGATGATGGAAGGGACCTTGGAGGTCATCTAGTCCAACCCCTGCTCAGGCAGGAAACCCTATATCATTTCGGACAAATGGCTGTCCAGTCTCTTCTTAAAAACTTCCAGTGTTGGAGCATTCACCACTTCTGGAGGCAGGTTGTTCCACTGGTTAATTGTTCTAACTGTCAGGAAGTTTCTCCTTAGTTCCAGGCTGCTTCTCTCCTTGATTAGTTTCCATCCGTTGTTTCTTGTCCTGCCTTCAGGTGCTTTGGAGAATAGCTTGACTCCCTCTTCTTTGGGGCAGCCCCTGAGATACTGGAACCCTGCTATCCTGTCTCCCCTCGTCCTTCTCTTCGTTAAATTAGACCTACCCAATTCCGGCAACCGTTCCTTATATGTTTTAGCCTCCAGTCCCCTGATCATCTTTGTTGCTCTTCTCTGCACTCTTTCTAAATAAATTGGAATATGGAATAGCAACTGCTAGAAAGTGAATGATGAAGGCACAAGTTGCCAGGATTTGACTCTTTGTTTAACCCAATGTACAGATTAATACAACTTCATGCTGTTGCTTGCATAAAGGAATATTTAAAAATATATATAACGAAGTCTTTCCTTCCTTCCTTTTAAGATACTTACAGATATTTTTTTTTGGTGGGAGGGGGGTTTCTTCAAGATTAGATTTACGTATGAAATGGAATAATCTGTATTTTAGAACGACTTTTTATGTTTTCTCTGTTTAAAAAAATGTGATTAAGAAAGGAAAATCTGCACAATTGATAGCATTAGCTGCTCTTTGTCTGAAGCACCTTCGTGTTTGCTGGTTTTCAGAAATAATTTTTAAGCAGTTGTAGTAGGGCTGTGCAAAGGGTCTGGCTTCAAAGGTTGTTGGGAATGTGTATCTGGATGGATCCTTTAGAAACACCTTGAACTAAGTACATATTTTCCTAGGACTGTATATCAGCTGTGCAGGGCAGCTGGGCAGCTGTGCCCTTGAAAAAGGTACAGCTGTTTTAAGAAGCTACCTGTCCATCCATTTTGGTCCCAGGTCTGTACAGCCCTAAGCCCTAATTACTTTCTGCAGTAATGTATCAATTTTACAATTCAAATGCACTTCATAAAGAGCGAACCTATCCATTTTACTTTTTCCTTTTGCAAGGGCTTGCTTTCAAACTTAGATAGCATCTTTTTTTATGTTTATAAGGCACATTTCCTGCTAATTATTGCTGTGATTTACTTTTTATACCGTCAGAGGGCAGCAGCTACCTGCCCAATACACTGCAATTACATTTTGCTGGGTTAATTTTGTGATAGGGGTGGGAAGTAAAATTGCTTTGCATTTTCATATAATGTTCACTTCCTCGACCAATGCAAGCTGGATGCAATTATCTTTTTTTTAAAAAAAAAATATGCAGCAAGCAATTTTTGCTACAACAGTGCAGACGTTACAGGAAACTGAGCGCATCTTTTAAAAAAATTAAATGTGTGTGAATCTCCCGTTAAAATTATTAATATTTGCGTAGAAAAACTGGGATGGAGTAACCATTTATTTGTCAAAAAAAATAGAGATGTTGAAGCATGCTGTAGCTCTGTAAATATTTGTATTTATGTGGAATATCAACTTGCAGTCTGTTGAAATTCAGGTATATGTTCAATTTGATGCAAACAAGATCAGACCTAATGTATAGAATGAAATCACGAGTTGCTTAATTATGGTTTGTTGGACAGCTGATGCTTCATTAGTTAGGTTGGGCTTGGGATTTTATGACAGCCATGAGACTGCTACACATTGTCACACGGACTAACACGTTGAGCAAAACATACCACCGTTTGCTTTTGCCTTGAGCCAAGAGAGGAGTATCTGAAATATGGGGTTTACCCTGTTGCTCTGGACAGACCACATAGCCCTTCTGCAAATCTGAGAGATCCATTAAGACCAAAGTCTTAAGGAATCCTTGGATTTTTTGACACTCTGGTGGATTTTATAGGAGCTGGAGCCGGTGCTCTTCTGGAATCTGTTGAAAGAAAGTGGACCCCCCCCCCCAAAAAAAAATGAAAGAAAAAAAAAACTAAAGGCGCAAAAATGAAAAAGAGCATCCGAAAATAGGAAAGCCAGAAAAAGGGTATTTAAAAAACACCTTCCGATCTTCTTTAGGCCGTTTATAAGTACAGTTACATATTGACCTCTCTCTCTCTAAAGTTATAGTAGCTGCAAGCATTATTGCGTGAAACGGATTATCTCATTTCAGTTTAGATTCCGTGTGGACTGAGAACTGAGTCACACTGAATTAATCAAACTTCATGGTCTCCTACAGGAAGGAGACAGTAGCAAAGCCAGCGAATCCGGCTGGATTTCTCGACGTGCATTTTTGACAATTATGATAAAATCTTCTCCAAAGAACTGGGGTGGAAAGCAACATTGCTGCAGTGATTCCAGGAATCCATGGCCAATCTCTTCGTACCAGAGAATTCTAAGACTATTGGTTAATCTCGGAAGCCAGAAAGTCTTCCCATACGAGACGAGCTATTTGTAATTGCCAAGAAAACTGCATAGGTGTGTGGAAAGTCAGTCCCCCCCCCCCAGAGAAGGAAATATTAAAAGGGCAGGATATTATATTTCCTCAAAGGATCTTAAAGAGGCAGAAAAGCATGCCCAGTTTTTCTTAATAGCCCCAAGTCTCCCACCCCCAAGCAGAAACCAGCTCTGTAGAAATGCAGATGTGATAATCCATTCGGGAAAGTTGGAGGCCTCCACCTAGAAGCTTAGGAAGACAAAGACATCCAAAATCTACATACCCCACCCAAACTTTAAGACAGGACATAATAGGATTAACCCACAGATGCCAAAGGGCACACCCAGACTCAGGTCAAAGTACATGACACAAGAAATACAAAGCCCTAAACAGGAGCAGGAAGCAACTCCAAACAAAAGGCTCCAGAGGGTATAAAAACCCACTCCCTACATGTGCTCTCTCTCTCTCTCTTTTCTTCCAGAGCCATCTTCCTGTCTGGCTCTCCTCTTCAATAAACTGCAACTTTCTTTCTAAAGCAGTCACCATGTTATTTATTCCCGACTTGGACTGAACCACGATGAAGACTTTTCCTTCAACAGGTGCAATCACCTTCAACTGCTCTCTGTTTGAGGGCATCTTCCAGAGTGCCTTCTCTATGGCACAACTACCTACCTACCTACCTACCTACCTACCTACACACACACACACACACACACACATCTTTATGGTTGCAAAAAAAAACCAATTAATCTTCATTATTCTGCCTGTTTTGCATAACAAATGAGAATCCTATACAGGGTGTGTGTTCGTGTGGCCCACTTCCCGGGGCAATTCCTGAGAAAGCATGAACAAATCTCAAAATATACATTTCTTTGAACTTTTGCCTTACAGCTGCAGTTTTCTTGGTAAACAATATTAATCTGCTGTCAGGAGATTAGTTCTTCATGAGGAAAAAAAAATAGCCAGATGAGATGGGTCCTGCACAAACATGTAGACATAACACATGTGAGAAGGACAGAAATAGTGTATTTATTGGAAAACCTTGGAAGAGTGCAGCAATGTAGATCAGTGGTTCTCAACCTTTTTAATGCCGCGACCCCCAACCGGTCGTAAGTCGAGGACTACTCAACTGGTCGTAAGTCGAGGACTATTGAACTGGTGCAGCACCGTTTGCAGAATGGGACTTTTGGCGGGCTCAGCAGGGCAGAGACAGCCTGGACAATTCCTATTGGCTTTTGAAAGCCAATAGAATGAGACTCTATTCAAGATAGTCTATTCTATTGGCTTTCAAAAGCCAATAGAATAAAAGGGAGTAGCACAGCTAAGGAAAAGGGGGAAAAAATGGCGGACTGTGTTGTTTGGCGACCCCCGTGAAATGGTCGTTCGACCCCAAATGGGGTCCCAACCCACAGGTTGAGAACCACTGATGTAGATGGTCATCAAAAAGGAACGACTCTCGCTATCTGCATATTCTTCACAAACTGGAATATCCTTGTTTTTTCCCCCTCAAACGGAGAGCTGCAGTTCTTACACAGTTCTTTG